CACATACATCTGACTCTGTCCTGTTCACCAGCATGCGTGGCCAGCATGTGGGCCCCCACAAGCCTAGGGTCATGTTTTACACTTTGTTTTGATTGGCTTTGGGGCAATGCCACACACTAAGCCTAGACATCAGGGACTCTCTTGGTATGAACTTCATTTGACGATGATTTTAACAAGGCTTTTTTTTGGAGGGATGGATTAGAAATTGGATCATTCAGCAGGACTTCAAAGCAGGGAACTAAAGCCCTCCACATGCACTTGCTTCAGAGTGGCTACTGCAGTGCTTTGGGAACGACACAATGTCTGCACAAAACGTATGTGGTTTTCATTGAAAAAAAGTCTTGGCTGAAGCTGTGCTATTCTGCCCAAAGCAAAAGGTCATATGACAAGAACTTCATTAAAATAATTAGAAGCCTGTCTCCCTGGAGTGACATAGACAGTCGAAAACGGGGAAGGCTGCTCCCCTCGGTCCTTTCGCCCATTGGTTGTAGCCACTGAGGATGTCTCAGGACCTCAGTCAGAGAGGACTTCAGGGCATATGCCCTTGGGAAGATAAGACATGGTTGTGGCCTGAGTACCAGTACAAGACTTTGTGCCCCCTAGAACTCAAAGGACTTCTCGATTCGATTCTGAGGCACTCTCTCCATCTTGCTACTAACGACGAAGAGTTTCTCAGCTCCTAACCCCATGGCAGGATTGCTAACACTGGCTCCAGGGCATGCATCGAGGCAATGCTGTGTTTCAGTGTGTTGAATGTGGTGTTTGCCCATCCTGCCGTGCTTTTGTTGCAGTATCCTGGTGGACATGAAGAAACCTGTTAAAATCTGGAACTGGTATCATATGTTGAAAGCATTACAAAAGTTGTGTAGACGTGGGTCTGGAGTAGAAGTTGGTGAGCTACAAACAGTGACCAAATCCCACCACCTGTGTTTTTGTTTTGTTTTGTTTTGTTTTGTTTGCGTTGGAGTCTCACTCCATTGTCCAGGCTGGAGTGCAGTGGCACACTCACAGCCACCCCAGTGTCAACCTGCTGGGCTCCAGTGATTATTCTGCCTCAGCCTTCCAAGTAGCTGGAACTACAGGTGCATGCTACTATGCCCAGCTAATTTTTGACTTATTGTAGAGATGAGGTCTCACCAAGTTGCCCAGGCTCGTCTCAAACCCGCAGGCTCAGGCAATCCACTTGCCTCAGCCTCCCAAAGTGCTGGGATTACAGGCTGAGCCACCAAGCCCAGTCTGTGTTTTTAACAAAATGTTTTGGAACACAGTGATGCTCTCGTGTTGATGCATGGTCTGTGGCAGCTTTCACGCTACAAGGGTAGCCAGCGTCAAGGAGTCCTGACAGAGACTGTGTGGTCCACAAACTCAGATATCTTCTGTCTGACTCTAATCTAGAGTCACCTGTGGTGTTTCCTAGGCCCCTAACAGATGCCCTCAGGGCACAGATCCTGTGTCCTTTAAAGATACTTCAACTGTTGCAGAGGCAATTCCAGAGAAATTGTGTGAATTAGTACATCCTTAGAAGAAAGAAGAAAAGCGTCAGAATGCCCAAAAGCCAGCCAGGGTCCTTATGGCTTCCCATTTAAGTTCCAGTAGTGGGTTTTTCAGCTGGCCAGGTGCCTAGGTATGAATTTGACATGTCTTTTGAGGGCAGACCTTCTTAGCATCAGCTTAGCAGACTAAAGCCACACCATGCTGCTGCATGGCTCGCATGTGCTCCTTTCTCCTGTCTCAGCTCACTCTGGGGAACCTTCAGAGTCAGGTGTTGAATGCTCCTGGTATTGGGATCCCCAGCAGAACGGTCACCAGCAACCCCACATAGAGTAGGCAGTGGGACCTTCACCTGGTGTTCAGCCCTCAGGGTTTTAATCACTTTCACTACCCAGAATCAGAGGAACTTTTCAATGGGACTGCAGTCCACAGCATTTCCTAAAAGGGGTCACACTTAATTTGAGCATTTTTGTTTCTTCTGGCCAAAATTGATACTGACACCAATGGGAATTTTCATTTTGTAATAAAAGCTGAATGAGAAACAAGGTTTTCAGGGCCAGCAGGGTGTTTCTGGAAGTTCTGTGGTAGGGGAAGGGACCCTCAGCTATGCTGGGTATGATTTTGGTTACTCTTCTGTGAGGGGCCTCTTAAGGTTCATATAAAGGGACATCAGACTCAGATGATTTGCTTGATCCACATGTGTGTGCAGAGGGATAGTTCGCTTGGCCCACATGTGTGTGCAGGGAAGGGATGGTTCACTTGGCCCACATGTATGTGCAGGGATACAGGACAGTTGTTTGGTAAAGTCTTGGCTGGTTGGCTCCAAGAAGTAGGCAGTGGTGAAATGATCAATGTGAGCTTCTCCAGTAAGGGATGGAGTGGGGTACCTAGTATGTGTGGGAATCACGTGACCCAAGCTTCCTGGGAAAATACCAGAGGTCTTCACAAAGTTTATGGAAAGTGCGTATTTTGAAAAAAAACTATACCAGAGTTTCAAAAATGGTTTGCACCCAAACAAACTTACACTGACTTGTCATAACATGTCTGAGCAGGATCTAGTTTGAAGGATAAGAAATCAGTTTGAAAAGTGCCCTAGTCAGAGCATCATGAATTATTCTAAAACTGAGATGAGACCAAACATCAAATAAATGGTGAAGCTTGAGTGGAAGAATGGTAAAATTATTGATCCTTTAAGAATAGTTTATGGGGACAAGGCACCAAAGAAATCATCATTTTACAAATGGACAGTTTGTTTTAGGGAGGATATTATATTGAAGATGAAGTCTGTAGTGGCAGACTAGCCATTTCAGTTTGTGAGGAAAAAAAAATACATCTTATCCGTGTCTTAACTGAAGAGGACCGATGACTAACAGCAGAAACAACAGTGAACACCATAGATATTGCACTTGATTTAGCTTACATGATTCTGACTGGAAAATTAAAGTTGAGCAAACTTTCCCTCTGATGGAAGCCAAAACTGTTGCTCCCAGATCAGCTGTAGACAGGAGCAGAGCTTTTGATTGAAATTTTAAACAAATGGGATCAAGGTTCTGAGGCTTGAAGAATTGCAATAGGAGATGAAACACCAGTACAATCCTGAAGACAAAGCACCAATCAAAGCAATGGCTACCAAGAAGAGGAAGTGGTCCAGTCAAAGTACAAGCAGATCAGTCAAGAACAAAGATCATAGCAACAGTTTTGGGGGGAGAATACTCAAGGCTTTTTGGGGGGAGAATATCAAGACTTCCCAGAAGGCCAAAGAGCAGTAGCATCTGATTATTATGAGAGTATTTTCAGAAATCGAACCAAAGCTTTAGCAGAAAAACACCCAGGACCGCTTCACGGTAGAGTCCTTCTCTACCATGACAGTGCTGACAGTGCTATTCATTTCTCTCATCAAACTAGATAATTTTGCAAGAGTTGCTTTGAGAAATCATTAGATGTTCACCTTGCAATCCTGATCGAGCTCCTTTTGACTTTCTTTTGTTTCCTAATTTTAAAAAAAATCTGTAAAGGGCACTCATTTTTCTTCAGTTAATAATGTAAAAAAGACTACATTAGCGTGGTTAAATTCCTAGGACCCTCAGTTCTTTCAGGATGGACTGGTGTCATCTGGTATCGGATATTTCAAGATGGACTGGTAAATGACTAGTATCAACACTTACAAAAGTGACTTGAGCTTGATGGAGCAAATGATGAGAAACAAAATTTTTTTTTATCTTTAAATTACATTTCTTCATGAACTTTTTGAAGTTCCCTTGTGAAGGGCACACTTATATTTCACCCTCCTCAGCCTGTACAGGCCCCCAGGACCTGTGCCAGAACTGGGAGATGTCACACCACCCCCATCTCCAAGTCACCGCTGTTCCCCAGGAAAGGGAGGCCATGATTCTGCCCACCTTGTCCTTAGAGGGGGTGAAGGAGACTCTGAAAGTCAGTAATGATTAGTAATTCAAAATCAAAGCAGCTCAGATAATACATGAAACTGCTTAACTTCCTGATTCAATTATAACAAACAGCATGTATTTATAGCATGTGCATAAGCATTAGACTATAAGCTGACAGGTTGTTTTGTGTTCAGAATTGCTTTTTCTACTTTTCAAGTAGCATATTTTCCTTGTTTCCCTAATGTACTTTAACCAAAGAATTCCTCAGTGGTGTTTATATTTTCCAGTCAGTTCTCTTACATTTGTCATCTGTTTTCCCCTCAAAGATCCTCGGTGTCTAATTTGTTTTTAATTCACTCTATACATGTGTGTGTCATGTTGGGGCCCTCTGGGGTGAGTGAGGAAGCGCGTGTTGGCATCCTTCAGCAAGGCTAGCAGGGACTCTCCGCCTTCTTTGCTGCACACAGCCTGAATCCGGTGCTGAGAGTGAGGATTGTGCCTGTCTTCAATGAAAGCTAGTGGAAAGTACCCTGTAGCAGCATAGGCTGACTGATAGGGTGAGGGGAGCTGCCCCACCCTCAGGAGAGAGATTGAATGGGCAAGGAGGACCTGGCCAGGAAGGACAGGGAAGGAGAAGATGGGGTTGAGGTCAGGGAAGATGGGGATGAGGATTGGAGGGTGGAGGTGGGGGCAGGGCCAGCAAGGATGGAGGTGAGGCTGGGGAAGACTGTTAGCTTACTGAGACAGGCAACTGGCTCCACCCCTTAGCCCAAGGCCCAAGTTAATGCAGCTGGTGCTATGGGAGTTACAGATCACCTCCAAAATATTCAGATAATATCGTACCAAGAAACAACTATGTTGTAGCTTTCACTAAGCATTTATAGTGCTTGTTGATTGCATTTTGAAGATATCTATGAAATGAGCCATGATCACACCTGGATTGATTTCCTTCTAATTAAGGGAGAAGCATCAGATTCCAGGCTGCTGTGTGCCGCACTCAGCGTGCTATAGGGGCAGGTGCTGTGAAGGTCAGAGAGAACCTTAGTGTTTTGGTGACTATCCTGTCCTTCGCCTGGCTGTGTCCTCAGCGGACCCAGTGACACCTTCTCCTACCCTTTGCAGAACGGTGGTCATGCCCATCGCCAATGAGTTTGCCCCGGACGTGGTTCTGGTGTCATCAGGCTTCGACGCTGTAGAGGGCCACCCCACACCTCTCGGAGGCTACAATCTCTCTGCCAAATGTAAGTGCATCTGCAGATGACCAAGGAGCCAAGGGCACTTGTAACACACCATGGCTCTGCTCATTTTTATGGTCAGTGTGTTCCTTTAATAACAAGATGAGGAAAGTCACCTTCTTACCAAAATTGTGAGTGTTGTAGCAACAAGTTCATTAACGTCCCCAAAGAGCACAGGGTGAGAGCAAGAATGTGTAGACCAGGGAGCCTCAGGCACAGGCACTTTTTGCCCACGAGAGCAGCAGCTCGTGAGGGAGAGGCCCAGGGTGCATGAGGCTTCGTCTGCTGGGACAGAGGAACATACAGACCACCTCCAGGGGCAGGGCTGACTCTGCTGACAGCCAGCCTGTGATTGGAGTCATAAATCAGCATCACCTATTTTCCTTGGTTCTCTAATAAAAGTCAGCCTGTTGCCAGAGTGGTAATTATTATTACCCACCAGGCATTCTCTAAGGTGGGTAATGTGGCTGCAGTGGAGAGACTGTGGCTCCTCATCAAAGCCAGACACCCCAGGTGTGGGTGTGTGAAAGCCCTTCATGGGCACAAGTGATAAGTGCACACATGTATATGTGTGTGCTGCACATGTGTGTATGCATATACATATGAAGGGCGTGTCAGATGACCAAAACCTTGTGGGCCTCTGGAGTGGTCCCTGGCCACACTCTGGTGGCCGTGGCCCCTCTGGGAACTAAAGGGCAGGTGGCACACAGCTTCCCGCTGGGGCTCAGCTGCCCTCATCTCCCAAACCAGATGATTTGCTACATTACATAACCCAAGCATTGAAACCATTACTCATACCCTCAAGTAGATCACAAAGGAAATCCGGAACCAAAATTCTTCAATGAATACATTAAATCAGACCTAGCCTCTGTCATGTGTTTTGGCATCCCAGTCCTTTGTTGTCTTGTGAAATGATGGGATGCGTTTCCAGGACACTCTGACTGCATCCCACCCTCATCCTCCACCGTTGTCTCCCATTTCCCATTGCAGGTTTCGGGTACCTGACGAAGCAGCTGATGGGCCTGGCTGGTGGCCGGATTGTTCTGGCCCTTGAGGGAGGCCACGACCTGACCGCCATTTGTGACGCCTCTGAAGCCTGTGTTTCTGCTTTGCTGGGAAATGAGGTACAATGACCCTAGGGACCCCACAGAATGCTCCTGGATGACAGGCTCCTGCACAGCCCAGCCACCCACAAGTCCCAAACTGTGAAAGTGAGTGGGTCGGCCAGGCCTGGTGGCTCAGCCTGCAATCCCAGCACTTTGAGAGGCCAAGGCGAGTGAATTGCCTGAGCCCGTGGATTCGAGACCAGCTCGGGCAACTTGGCGAGACCTTATCTCTACAATAAATAGAAAATTAGCTGGGCGTGGTAGCGTACACCTTGAGTTTCAGCTACCTGGAAGGCTAAGGTGGAAGGATTGCCAGAGCCCAGCAGGTCAACGCTGGGATAGCTATGAGCGTGCCACTGCACTCCAGCCTAGACGACAGAGTGAGATTCCAACTCAAGGGAAAAAAAAAAGAAGCCGGGCTTGGTGGCTCGGCCGGTAATCCCGTGCCTTTGGGAGGCTGAGGTGAGTGGATTGCCTGAGCCCGCGGGTTCGAGACCCGCCTGGGCAGGCGAGACCTCATCTCTACAATAAATAAAATATCAGCCGGGCATGGTAGCGCATGCCTATAATTCCAGCTACTCGGAAGGCTGAGGTGGAAGGATCGCCGGAGCCCAGCAGATCGAGGCTGTGGTGGCCGGGAGCAGCCACTGCACTCCAGTCTGGGCGACAGAGTAAGACTCCAACTCAAAAAAAAAGAAAGAAAATAAGAAAGCAAATGGGTCTCTGACCATGTGGACACTTTCTGCTTGGTATTGAATGTGCTTTCCCACTTCCACTTATTAGGCCTTTATAAATTGGCCAGAACTCCGATTATGTCCAGAATGAGGTAGGGACAAGAACTGACAAGATCCCTTTTCTCTTAAAAAGATGATTCAGGATCCTCCATCCTTTTACATGTCAGTTACATCAAGAATATTGTGCTGAAAGGTTTTATTTTCATTACTCTCTTTATTTCCTCTGTGGACAATTGCTTTTAGATTCTCAGGGAGGTTTTGGTCAGGCTCAGAGATGGGAGAGGGGCCTCTTCTGTCTGGCAACCCCATCTGCTGCTCTGAACCCCAGCAGGGTACCAGGGTTAGGGCTCTGCACTGCATCTCTTGTGACACTGCAGGACAGAGTCAGGAAGATGCTATGACCAGCACAGCCAGGTCCTCTCGGCCTGGGTGGAGATAAGGAATGTTTGCAGGCTCAAGGAGCGAGAGCACCACCTGTAGCCTTCCATTCCAGGGCAAGGTCTGGTCACATGTCACTGCTCCTGGCAGAGCTAATACCATCTGTGAGTCAACAGATGGCAGAACTTGTGGGGAACGCTGTTGGTGCCGTTGTCATGTCCAGCCCAGAGAGCATGTAAAGTACATGATGCAAAGCAGAGGAATATTTTTCTTTCTTTTTTTTTTTTTGAGTTGGAGTCTCACTCTGTTGCCCAGACTGGAGTGCAGTGGCCACTCCCGGCCACTGCAGCCTCGACCCACTGGGCTCTGGTGATCCTTCCGCCTCAGCCTTCAGAGTAGCCGGAATTACAGGCACGCGCTACCATGCCCGGCTGATTTTTTGATTTTTTTTTTTAATTGTAGAGATGAGGTCTCGCCAAGTTTCCCAGGCGGGTCTCTAACTCACGGGCTCAGGCAATCCACTCACCTCAGCTCCCCAAAGTGCGGGATTACAGGCTGAGCCACCGAGCCTGTCTAATACTTTTCATTTATAGATTTGAAACATGCTCTTCCTGAAACTGTAATCTGTCCAGAGGCCTCTCAGATATGGTTCCACGTACCTGTCTACTGATTCCTGACTCCATCTGTGGTTCCCCACGTGGAACTTTCTCTGGGTGCTTGCTGTGGGTGTTCAGAGCAGGTCCTAAGAACAGCTGCTTATGCATGGATGATGTGAGGGCCAAGTAACCAATCCCATGACCACATGATGAAGGCAGCAGGAGGCGCCTGAGGCTCCAGGCACACCCAACACAGGAGCCTGCCAAGGGAATGTGGGGTCCACACCTGCAGGGAGCATGTGACTCTGCCTCATACGTCCTCTAGAGCTCCCCTCCTCAGAGTTGGGGTGACCTGGAGTCCAATGGGGGTGTCCTGGGGCTCAGAGGTTTACAGAAAACCCGCACACCAACCCCCATTCGATGCTTGGCCCCCCGCTGTGGTTGACTCTTCTGGTAGCATCTTCCTCATTTTCAGGATAAGGAAAATGTAGCACTCTACCATCCTACCTCACCTGTCTTTATAAAACTTGTCCCTAAACCCCTAAGTTTAGGAACCAATGCGTAGCAACTCAGATGCCATTTGGCCAGCACTTGCTTTTGTCTCACTACACATGCTCCCAGACGAGTCTTGATCTCTGTTAATCAGGTGTACAGTCATGACTTCGCAAGTACACCCACAGCTGTAGCGGCTTGAGGGGCTGCATGGCTCCATCAGGAGCTCTGACCTGCTGACAGGGTGGGCAGGTAGATGGCAGGGGCATCTGGGTTTGAGGAAAGGTCCACCTGGAAACATCCCAGGATGTTCTTCACACAAACCCGTCCACACAGAGGGCCCTGCCACAGGAAACTGACCCTGCTGCTTGAGGATGGTCCAGGTGCAGTGAATGAGGCAATGTCAAAGCCACGCAGGAGGCCACATACACCCATAGTTAGGCACAGTGCTCTTTGGTCCTGGCATGGAGGCTTTCTTCTAGAAAATGTAGAGTGGGGGTGGGAGCAAGGGCCCACTGTCTGGACTGCCCATGGCTGGGCTAGCATGGGCTCATGCAGCTTGTCTGGAGGTGGGCAGATGTCTCAGGTGACTCATATCCCATGAGTTAGGGGTGTGATGGCTTTCCTAGTGTGATCCCCATGTGGTCACAGCCAGCCACCCTTTCCACAACATCTGGTCCCTGGAAGCAGGTTGCTTCTTAAGTGATTGGGAATGTACTGTGAATCGGGGACTGCTTTAGCAGAGGAAGTGGGCGTGTTTCCAGGTGGACCTTTCCTCAAGCCCAGAGCCCACGTGAGCAAGCAATCAAGACCCCAATTGGGGTCCCAGGCTGCTGCAGGCATCAGAACCTTCCTCCCTCACCCTCCAGGCTGATGTGAGCATCAGAGACATGAGAGGGAAGGAGCCATGGGTGCAGGTCCAGCCTCCAGCCAGGGCTCTTCCTGGTTAGTGGTCTTCCCCACCCTGGGAGTGGGGGCAGCAGAGTATGTCCTCTGGACCCTGGGACTCCACCCTGCCCCTTCAGCAAGCTTCCTTCATGGCTTTTCCAGAAAGATAAGATCTGTAACCCTAAATCTTGTAAGATTCGTTTTAAGACAGTCTGCTTTACTTTTCAGGAAATGTTTCATTCAAATGCAGGCAAGGCCAGGTATACCAGAAGCATCACCCAGTGACATAGGCTGCTCTGCACAAGCAGGGTGCCTTTAAGCATTTGCCTTTAGAGTTTCTGTCGGTGAGAAAAGAAGCATCCCTAGAACCCTGCAAGCCCCTTTTCTTTCTACGAGGGATTCCTGATCTGAATCAGTGTGTGAGGCTAAAGATTGATTGCAAGGATCAGTGTCTTGCCCTAGTGACCACCAGCTGACCGTGCCCAGCCCTTGCTACCACAAGGCCCTGCCCAGACTTGGGATGCTGGGGGACCAGCTATCTGGAAGAGGGACACTGGCCATGTGTCCCTTGCCAAGTGGATGCTGCCCTTTCTGCACTCAGCAGGTCAAAGCCCAGCATGTGTCCTGGAAATAAATGTAGGGGGCTCAGTGGCATGAGGAAGTAGAGGATGCCAGGAGCAGGGCATCATTGGGTATCAGTGAGAGCCCAGAAATGCAGGGCTCCCCATGGGAGCACAACTGGGCTCTTGGAGAGGGAGTATTGGAGGTTGGGTTGGCCAAGCCATGAGAACGAGACCAGGAAGGAACAGAGGAAGAGGGACACACATGTGTATGGGACCAAGGTGGTCTGTGGGACTCACTTGAATCCTCAAGCTTCAGAGGGGCTGTCGTAAATGTCCCTGACATAACTTAGCTGACGGTCAGTGATGCCTGAGGACTGCAGGGCCACACTTTGGCTTGAGGGAAGGAGCCATGACCCACCATGGGGAATTAAGGGGAACCGTGAGGCTCAGGAGGGAGGAGCCACGCCAGAAATGCAGCCCTGACCACATTCGATTAGTGGGTGGGGACTTGGATTCAGAGGATACTAGGAGAACTCCCCAACCCCCAGCAAGTCCCAACATCCAGCTGAGAAGAAAGGTTTGGAGAGAGAGGTAACCTGGAGCAGCCATATGGGGAACACAGGGACTGCAGACCATGCAGAGGCAACACGTGGCCAGCGGGTCCTGTTTGAAGAGGCACACTCGAAGGCCTGGGTGCTGTTTGGTGTAGCTGCTGTCCTGCTGGGGACCAGCAGAAGGAGCAAGAGCTCCTGTCATTCCAGTGATGATTTCTCTCTGTTGAAGAGACCCTGGACAGGGAGACATTGTTGAGTGCATTGGCAGCTCTGGCTTCCACTCACTGCCTCACCCTGAGAACTTGTGCATGAAGTTGGCCCCCAGGTACAGGCTAGCCAGCAGTGTCCACAGACATCTGACAAGGGGCTTCTAGGGAGATGGACAAAGAGACATAAAGCAGGTCCTCTAGGTACATGTTAAAGGTGACTATCCAACCAGGACTGTGGGACAGATGACTGATAGAAAACTCTTCCATGAAGTGATGCAGGCTCTGTTCTCTAGCTGTTTCTGGTCAGCATTGTTTCCCTTGACTTGCGTGAACTGACAGCAGGCAGGCACTGAGGACAGGAGATGGCACCTCAGATGCCAATGTGAGGTCTGCCCCTGAGTTTCAGGCCCCAGCAACTCAGGTCAAGGGTGAGATGACCCTAGCTCCGTGTGTGTTGACCCTGAGAGGGGCCCCAGGAGGACCAGAGCCATGATATCATGGCCCACTAGGCAACACACCAGCTCCAGGGCCACTCCTGAGGGGACAGTGATGAGGGAACATAGTACTAGGAGAGCCGTCGGGGACCAAGGTTGAGCCCAAGCAT